CCCCAAAACCCCAAAACCCCAAAACCCCAAAACCCCGGTATTTTTAAATTACATTGATTTGTAAGTTCTTATAAATGATCTACCCACCATCTTATCATGTTCATCATTGCATCGATGTTTTGTTCAAGAGAGGGGATAGCATGGCCATCATTCGGATAATAATGTAAGTCTGTCTCTACTCCTATTTGCTTGAGACCTTTGTAGAAATGAAGGCCTTGCTTATCAGGACATCTTCTATCATCTCCTCCAATAATAAAGAGCGAAGGAGTTTTAACATTCTCTACTCTTGAGATAGGCGATTTGTCATACATTTCTAGAACATCTTCTCTACTTAAGATCCATGTATTTGGTTTGTTGCATGCAACAGAATAATGCCAGTCTGGGATATCTGAAAATGTTACAGTGGCATGCATTGCTGTTACTGGGTTCCAGATACAAGCTGCTGAAAAGCGATCAACCCAATCAGGATGAGAGATAATAGATCAAGTTAAGAATCCACCATGAGATCCTCCATATATTCCAAGTCTTGTTTGGTCTATCTCTGATGCAAAAGTGTCAATACATTGTTGGAAGAGGTTTAGGGAATCATCAACATCCATTGTAAACACCTTGCCAGATAAGGATTCAGCAAATTTCAATCCATATCCAAGTGATCCTCTGTAATTAACACTGAAAAGATTGTATCCAAGTGCCATCCAGAGTAACTTTTCTTTAAGGAAAGCATTGAATGGGAAACTTCCATGTGGTCCTCCATGAACAATTAGGATTGTTGGTCTTTTCTGTTGATCAAATATCTTTTTCTCTTCATCGACTACTCTGATGAAGTAGCCTTCAGCTCCTTCTTCAGTGGTCAGAGTATCAACCTTGACATTACTCATTATACTATCAAAGAAGTCATTTTTACCAGAAATTTGGCATATTTTAGTCCATTTTGGAATATCATCAGTAAATCCTGAGAGGAGATAGAGGGAAGCAGGCTCATTGAATGAAGAAGATGCGACAAAAGCATAATCCTCTTGTATCTTCTTAAGAATTATGAAATCATTTGTGTTCATATCTGGGTTGGTGAGCACTTTGTATGTCTTCTCTTCTACATCAATCAAAACAAGGATTTCTTTTCCTTTGTTTCAAGTATTGAATAGCAACTTTGAAGTACCTAGATGAGTAAAGCCACATTATTACCTTTAATAAATTTAGCTTCGTCGTAATTATCATGGAACCCAAAGAGACCAGAGAACTCATTATCAATTTCAAGGTCTCTCTTGATAACATTGTAGTTTTCTTGATTATCTTTGCCAAAGTTTTTGATGACGTTTAGCTCCAGACAAGTGCCATGTGTAATGAACTCTTCTTTACTTCCGAAGTAGGATAGATATTTATAGTCATCAGAAAATTTTGGAAATCCAGCAAAGTAAAATTCTTCTGTAAGCGTCTCAATATCATATTTAAATGGTTCTGAATCCTAAAGAAAATAAGAGATGGTTAAGAAATTTAAAATACCTCTTGAGGTTCTTCAGAAGTCCCATTTTCTTTCTTAGCCTTCTCAGGTTGGCTGTATGCTTTCAAGTGATACAACTTAGTTGGCTTGTTGAGACAAAAGTTTAGCCCAAGTTTATCTATTGGGAGATTGTATCCGTGAAACACTATTCCTTCACCACTCTGGTCAAAGATAGGATGGGCTGGATACACATCATCAAACTCTATCAATAAATCTTTTCTCTTACCGCCGGTATCTATGTTTCCATTTTGTCTGAATTCCTGAATATCTATGATTGTGATCTTCCTGAGCTCTAAATCATAGACAACCATCACTGGATGCTTCTTATCAGTAAGAGTTTCTCCAAAGTTGTTAATCTGGGTTCCTTTTCTGTCATTATACAGCCATTTTCTGTAATTATGTGGCACCTTTGCATCCTTCTTAGCTTCCTCGTCAGTCATTGGCTTCTTTGATTCGTTGTCCCAGTAAGGAGTGAATGCTTCATTGGGCTTTTTCTCTGCAATAAAGGTAATTTTATCATTGTTCTTTGACCATGAGATACCTCCAAATACTGGGTGGTTGTAGATAGCGCCACAGTCTACAAGCTTGAGTGAAATTTGATACCCGCCAGAAGTCCAGTGTTCGAGGTAAAGAGCTTTATCATTCTTTGGTTCAGTTTTTATTAAGATCATCTCTGAATTTCTCTTAGTTTTTGCGACAACTTGTTTATCTTTTGGCTCAGCAGTAGGAATATCATTGAGCTTTGTCACTTCTCCAGTGGTGATATTCACGTTGTAAAGATTAGAGTGGATCCTTGGTTCAAATTTGGAAAGATCTGTTTTGGAGAAGCATACTTTAACCACCATTGAGATTAGCTTCTCTCCTTCATAGGTGGATCCAATAACTTCAACTCCGGTTGTCTATAATTGGATACAAAATCTTACATTTGGATATTGAGTAGCTAGAACTTCAAAAAGATTAATTGCATGCTCAAACTTCTCACTAATCTTACGACTTTGTTTTATTTCTAAAAGTAACACTATAAAATACCTTCTTGAGGTACGGGTTCAGCTTCCATATTGAATGATTGGTAAATAATATACTATCTGAGAGGATACAATCTCTTACTTTGATTTTGGGGTTTTGGGGTTTTGGGGTTTTGGGGTTTTTGGGG